TATCATGGCTTACGTTTCTCCTGTTGTATGGCAAAGCAGGACGTTCGGCTTCTGTATATGAATTCGGGCGTTGGAATCTTGGCACTAGGTATTAATGGTATCCAGAGACTATGGAAATGGGTTAAAAGTGAGGAGAACCCTGATGGAAAGGTAAGCATTAAAGAGAGAGTTAAAGAGAGCTCAATGCATGATGTGTGCGGTTTTATTTAACTACTCTTTATCATGCAGGCAACCACTACTGTTGCTCCTCAGCTTTGGCAACCAGACAGTGGTGTTCTCATTACAAACGATGTCTCTCGTGTAAACCTTGAAGGGTCTACTCCATGTATGGCTCTCGCTAAGAACGACTTATACGTTATGTCGGCTGTTGGAGGAACAGCCTCGCTGCTCAACATGCTGACTTTTAAGGTATATATATATATATCTAAACTCAAAAGCTCTAGCTGAAAATGTTCTCACGCTAATCCTAGAAAACTCTTTGGTGAGTAATTTCTAAAGAAATCTATTGTCCTTATAGGTGATGAAAAAATTCTTACAGCCTCCACCAGCATCAACAATTTTAGCGTTCCATCCTCAAGACCATTTCATCATCGCTATTGGAATGGATGACTCCATGATTCGCATCCAGAATCTCCAAACGTATGTGGTAAGTTGTCGCTAGTACCAACCATAGCCGCTTAAGTAGTCTTTATGATCTATGACGAGTACAAACGTGTGAAGCTTTTCTCGATGAAGTGGTTCTCAAAGCTTGACATATATTTTACGTTTCAACTATTTCCCTGCTAGATGATTGCCTTAAGACTATATGACTGAGCTCTCTCCACCTGTATCTTGTGTTCCATCAGATCATAGCAAATCTAAACGGTCACAAAGAACGCATCACCGGCTTATCATTTTCTACAACCCTAAACATATTGGTTTCATCTGGTGCTGATGCACAGGTATGGCATGCTGCCTCGTGTTGTTTACTGTTTTGTGGCTTTTTCTTCCGTTCTGTTATCCAATTTAGGAGGATGCTCACTATTTTTCTCTTAGTTATCCGTTTGGAGCTTATACACATGGGAGAAGAGGAAATCAGTTGCAATACAAATGCCAGCAGGCAAACCCGCCAGTGGAGACACACGGGTTCAGTTTCATGTCGATCAGATCCATGTTCTGGCAGTCCATGAGACGCAACTGGCGATATTTGATGCTTCCAAGATGAATTGTGTCCGACGGGTATGCATGAGATCATCTCTCTAAATCAACATATATATGCACAAAAAACTGAAATGCAAGATCATATATACCTGCATTCGTAATAGTTATTCTGAAATTTGTATTAACTTTTGTTTACTTGTTTCCTTGTACTCAGTGGATTCCACAAGACTCGTTGTCTGCTCCTATATCTTCAGCAGTGTTTGCATGCAACAGCAAGTTGATCTACACCGCTTTCCGTGATGGTAACATTGGAGTGTTCGACGCAGACAGTCTCAGATTAAGATGTCGTATCTCTCCATCCGCCTACTTTCCTCAAGGGTAAGTGTATCCAACATTTCATCAGATTCTTAATTCTAAACCAATGTACTTTGTAAGATTCCGTCTTGAATCCGCATAATATATTTAAAAGGACTTGTGACAAAATGGTATTTTTTTCATTAGCCAAAGAATTCTAAAGCTTCTCTTTGTATTGATTTTGTTTTTGCTATCCAGGAGCCAAGGCTTGTCTCCTCTAGTTGTGGCGGCTAACCCGAAAGATCCAAACCAGTTTGCAATTGCTTTGAACGATGGGTCAATTAAGGTGATTGAACCGACAGAGGCTGAAGCCATGTAGGGGATGGATCTAACCGATTGAGCGATCAACACTTGATCATCCACCACAAGCAACCAAACTCCAGAACAGTCACAAAGATGAACAAACCAAAATCCATGTAAATAATCTCATTCCTTCAGGCCCTCGTTAGTTAGTTAGTTAGGGTTGTTGTTGATAAAAGTTTAGGCAGTGATATTAGATCTTCAAATGTAACCTTAGTTTCAAGATTCTTACAGAACAATGAAATTGGTAAGAAATCAAATTTGTACAATCTCAATTATCTGCAAATCTTTCTGAGTGAATCAGCAAAATACTAACAAGAAACTGAAACTATATGAACTGGTCATGGTTCGGGGAGGAGAATCCCATTAGCATCATAATGCAAAACACCTGACTTGTTCATCGGCTTGCATCTTTCACCCATTAGTGTCCTTTTCTTGCACAGCTCCTCTTCTTCTCCCATACCTTCACTTAAG